AATTTGTAATGCTTCATCAGCGTACTATGCTAAAAACAAATTAAAACAATGCGTTTACAAAGATGTTTACAAAGTTGTATGTCTGGTCTATGTTCAGTTACATTATACATGTATTCCTTATTTGATTTGTTTAAATGGTTGACATACCTTGCGTGATTTTATAATATATTATTCTGTAAGTGCTACCGGTAATTCCCTAAATTTAAAGTGACAAACCATGGATTGAACTCCTGTGCCTATTCTATCAACATTTTTAAGATAATTCTACTATTTGTATCCATTTTCACAGGCTTTCAGAATATTCAATCTCTAAAAAAATACACAGACATGCATAAAAAATAATATTGTTTAAAAAGGCAGATAATATAATATAATAAATACAGTAAAATAATTCTCACATAGTGTGTTTTATAATACATGTACATGTAGTATGTTAAATGGTTCATTAATATTAGGTTTCTGTCGCAAATAACAAAAAAAAAAATAATATTTATGTTGACAAGTTGCTTGTTACAGTGTTCAGCTTGTTTTGCTACTCTTCATGAATATTTGCTGTTGATTTTTTATTTATCATAAATTAATATGCGTGTACCATGTTTGTCCTGTTAGTAGCTCATGCACTCATGTAAATAACAGGGATGTGTATAGGTTCCAAATACCGGTAAGAGGGATTACTTAAAGGTCCAGCATATAATATAATTTTTCGTTCATGCTTCAAAAAAATGTTAATGTAATGAAAAGCTGTCAGATAATCTGTATAATCTTAAAATTTAATAACATGTGCATTATAATATGTAAATGTTTGAAAATGCCATTAAATTGATTCATGGTTTGACAATTTGATTTCACCATATTTATATTATACATCTATAAGTGAAACGTACATAATATTAGTTAGGTAGTTTAAATCATGTGTATTGTACATTCAGCATGAGATTAGCATCAATAACTACACTGTTTTATAGTATACATGTACAGACTGTAGGTGGATAAATCTCAACATTACTGACATAAAAGTCACTCAAAATAGTATGTCCTCTGGTGAAAAACTGAATCTGTTAACAAAAATGGAAATTTTGCCACAGTCCTTTTGTTGAGGGACTGATTTTGCAAAGTATATCCATTCTATGTTTCTGAGAATGAACCTTATGTTCTACAATTTATGATATTCTCTTGTACATAATTATTGACTTGGTTGGTGAGTATCAGCTGGAGATTTTATTTGTATTCCCCTATTTGTGCGTCCATCCATGTGTTTGTATGTCTGGAGTAATTTCTCTGGGCTGCTTTGACTGATCACAAATCAAACTTAATACAAAGACTATGTGTGATGAACTTATACATGTATATGCACATCGTTTTTGGCTCTCAAATTTGCTAAATTCTGATATTTAAACATGTCCGAAATCACTTCTTGGAGACGAATATGGCAATTTCATTCAAACTTTGTAACAGGTTCATGGCAATGGTGTCCATTTTATTTTTTATTCATATCTATGTTGATTAGTCACTAAAATATTACGACCCAGTACCATGGGATGTGTTAATTTGTGATTTAATCAAATTGATGGCAGTTTTGTTTAAAATCCTAAAATTGAGTGAACGTGTCTGCTACATGTTCTTGTCATTTATGTTTCAGAATTTTGTATTAATTGAAAGTACTATTACTACTATAAAAGTATTGATACTAATAATAACACCTTCATTTTTTCCTCTCTAATAATTCAATGAACATTTCAAGTGAAAATAATCAAGATGAGCTCAGCAATGACAGCCTCAGATTACGTGATACGCCCGCAAAGAAAATATATTTTTGACTCCCAT